AGTCAATGAATTGTAACAAAAAAATTAAAAGAGGCTCAACTCTGGAATAAACTTTTTCAATTAGAAACAATCTGTCAAATTCCACAATATTACAAACAATATCTGGTTAATTTCTTTGAACATTGTGACAAAAAAAACCCAAAAGATTATACACATGATGATTCAAAACTATTGTCAACAGTAAAAAAATTTCTTGGTATTTTAAAAATATAACATTTTTTTATCAATATTGTACTCCTGTGATTTTTAACAATTACATCTAAAAAATTTTAGAGAAAATATTTGGGATTTGAAAAAAATACCAAAAAAGAAAAAATCAATCACAGAGCCAACATATTCACATGAATTTGTTACACATTTAGTGGATTTTTTAAAAGATGACTTGCTGAATATTGAAACATCCTGGTTAGTAAAATGTTTATTTGCATAAAATTTATGTTGATCCTGATTTAATGATCTTATTATAATGATAGGTTTAATGTTGAGAGTACAGCAACCAAAAATAGGAATAATTTAATTGGTCCAAGGAGATGTCCAGACGTTCTCTGGTCATTGGAAAGTGGCATTGAAGAATTAAATTTTGAAATACTTTATATCGAAATTTCCAATGGGCCTTTTAATATAACTGATAAACATATCAAAAAAGATAAAATACGATTAGGGAAATATTGCAAAGATTCACTTAATTACATTCATAATGAATCTTATTCTGTTTCACCTGATAAAAAACTAAGATAATAAGTATCATTGATGGTGCAATTTTATTTTCTTTACATTTTCATGGTGAGTATTGGTTTAATTCATTCATTGATTTTATAATTCTATATATTGAATTATAAATCTTTTTTTAAAAATAGGCTTATTGTTAGATGTATATGCAGTAGAAAGGAGTTATCCTCCACTTTTTAGAATGAGAAAAATTATGGAAATTGGACTGCCATTAATAAAGGATGAAATTGATGTTAAAGATTTTATTTATTTTTTTGAACAACTTAATTCATTAAAAGATCTGATCAAAAAAAATAAAAGAAGAATCTTAGGATACTAGGAGCTTTTATATCATCAGATCAAACTAGTCAAGCAGAAGATAATGACAATGATACCAATGATGACATTATATCATTTAATCCAAAAAATAATAATAGAAACTTAGTAGATGGAGAGAGTTCAGAATCAATTGTTGTAAGTATTACAGATGATCAGGTAGTGATATGCTTAGATCCACCAAACAAATTGCTATATAAAACCTATTTTTTCGATCGTGTATTTGGAAAAGACATGAATCAACAAATGGTATTTGATTCCGTAGCTTATCCAATGTTGGAAGATGTGCTGAAAGGGTTTAATTGTACATTGTTTGCATATGGTCAAACGTCGACTGGTAAGACATATACTATGGAAGGAGATTTGGATAATATTGATAACAGTGATAGTACTGGTGATGGTGATAATAATATTGGTACAAATACTGGAATAATCCCACGTTTCTTTCACTGTCTTTTTCAAACTTTGCAATCAGAATATATTAATATCAATTCTTCAGTAAAAGTATCTTATGTTGAGTTATATAATGAAGAATTGAAGGATCTGTTATCTGATAATGATCGAGATAAATTGATAGTTTCCATGAGGGGTTTGAAGAATCATAAAGAGATTGATATAAACAATGCCAGTGAGGGCATTGATATTTAAAGCAAGGGGTGATTAGAAGGAAAAATGCAGAAACCAACTATAATAAAAAGTCAAGGTATTTAATGGATGGATGATTTTATAGCAATCAGATAAAAATTATTATACTCATTAATTGAAACATATAAATAAACAATTTATCATGATCATCAAGTAATCACAATAATAGTCGTTCCCACTCAATATTTACAGTAACAGTTGAAATGTCATTGAATGATGAAAATTGACAAAAGTTGGAAAATTGAATTTTGTTGACTTGGCAGGATCAGAATGTGTTGCTCTCACAGGTACAGTCTCCAGCGAAAGTAATGGTGGTGATAATTTTTTTAAAAACTAAAAATTTTTAATAAGCAACTATCAATAAAATTTTATTTTTAAAACGCCTCTAAG